TTCTCTCCTCTCTCCTCTCTCGCTCTCTCTCTCTCTCTCTCTCTCTCTCTCTCTCTCTCCTCTCTCTCTCTCTCTCTCTCTCTCTCTCTCTCTCTCTCTCTTCTCTCTCTCTCTCTCTCTCTCTCTCTCTATCTCTCTCCTCTCTCTCTCTCCTCTCTCTCTCCTCTCTCTCTCTCTCTCTCTCTCTCTCTTCTCTCTCTCTCTCTCTCTCTCTCTCTCTCTCTCTCTCTCTCTCTCTCTCTCTCTCTCTCTCTATCTCTCTCTCTCTCTCTCTCTCTCTCTCTCTCTCTTCCTCTCTCTCTCTCTCTCTCTCTCCTCTCTCTCTCTCTCTCTCTCTCTCTCTCTCTCTTCTCTCTCTCTCTCTCTCTCTCTCTCTCTCTCTCTCTCTATCTCTTTATCTCCTCTTTTTGCCATGTTCAGTATACTCAGGGTTGATAACCGAGGTTCACCAGATTGCAATCCATCCGTCCTTTTCTGATTAGAGCCGCCGCGGGTTCCGATGGGGCCAGGACAGTGCAGATAGAGCGTCCGGCCGCTGCCGCCGGGGCTGCCAAGGTGACCCCTGTCCGTCTGAACCAACAAACCACCTTTCATGCTCTATGTCGATCCCCCACGGTGTGATACATTAGTTCAACACTGACCGGATGAGATGATTTCAACCTACGATTGATGCCAATGCAAGCATGCTCATTGCTCAACAATACACTCGCAAAAAAGGATACGAAACACATGTTCTGGTGAGGGTGTTCATTTAATAATAAGCGATCCTTTACAGCAGCATCTTCCTAGCTTCTTCCTCCTTTGCTGATGCATCATTACATCAAATTACCATCATCCATCTGGCTTATTCTTTGCTAACACTAAGCTATGGCAAAACATCCCTGCTTGCATCTTCTTCGTCTTTCAGAAGTCACTGTGAACAGGACTGCCATTAGCAGCAAGAGGTCCTCAATAACAGACTGGTCCATGGCAACTTGTAAATGTTTATCGCTCAGTTTGTCGGTCACGGGACCGGGCCGCGTCACCGGATGTGGCGCCTCCGACAGAGGTCAGCCGCACCGAGCTCTAAAGACCTTCTGCCAGCTCCGAGTCGTCAGTCCGAGGGCGGCAGCCGGTGCTGGCGGTTCCTCCTACTGAGCCACCATGGCTAGAGGCTGGAGAGGGATCCTCGTGTCGACCTTGCTGGTGGTGTCTGCCGGCTGTTCCGCGGCGCAGCAGCAGCAGCAGGCCGCCCTGCCCAGCGCCACTGCCGACGAGGTCTTCACCATCATCGCAAGAGCAGTTCAGCAAGAGCTACGGCCAGTCGTCAGAAAACTCGAGTCTCGAGTGGAGTCGCTGAACAACAGACTGACTCTGCAGATGGAAGAGCTGTCCAGTCAACTGAGTGGAATCACTGCGAGACTCGACAGCCAGCTATCACAACTGAGCGAGCTCAACACCCAGCTCAACGAACAAAAATCACAGCAAGAGGAGACTGCAGCCACAGTGGACGGCAATGTAGAACGACTAGAATCCAACGTAACTTGGCTAGAAAATCAACTGACAAAGGTGATTGGACTGGCCAACAGACTCGACAGCCAGCAATCACCATCGGCCACACAGGAGAGCATAGATCGTCCGGCTTCCGAGGTAAAGCAGCTGCCTCCTCCCCGTGATTGCAGCGGCCTGCCTGTCGACTCCCCATCTGGAGTCTACCTCATTCGACCCAGCAGTGACAGCCAACAACCACCCGTCGAGGCGTACTGCGACATGGACACTGCCGGAGGGAACTGGACGGTGATCCAACGACGAGACGATATGACACCCCGTCAGGACTTCAACCTCGGATGGACGGACTATAAGGAAGGCTTTGGAAATCTAACCAAAGAATTCTGGTGGGGCTTAGAACACCTATTTCAGCTAACGTCATCCAACCACCGACGGTACGAACTCCGTATTGAGCTTCAGGCATTTGACGGCAGTCAAAGATACGCTACCTACCAAGGGTTCCGTATCTCGTCTGAGGAGGACGGCTACACATTGAGCGTCTCCGACTACTCGGGAACTGCCGGGAATGGTCTGAAGTACAGCGTCAATGAGAAGTTCTCTACCCGTGACCGTGACCAGGACGGCTGGTCTGACGTTCACTGTGCACAGGGCCGTCAGGGGCCCTGGTGGTACGACAGCGGGTGCGGGTACAGCAACCTGAACGGACGGTACCGGGACGGCGGTGATGAGGACCGCACTGGAATATGGTGGTACACGTGGAGGAAATTCGAGTCACTGAAGAAGGTCGAGATGAAGATCCGGCCCACCTAACTCATCTACACACTAAGGAAGTCATCACAGCTGTGGTGAACAGTGTACGTGACAGGTACATGTGACATGTACACAGTGCGGCGGCCACAGCCATCGGCTCGGGCTGCCGGTGCTGTAAGGGCAGAACCAGTATCTATTGTGAGCATGTATGCTGGAGAACTTACCGGTTGCTTATCTGCGGACGAACAGTAGCGTTTACATACGTCTATAATGTTATGTCCAGGGCACTAAAGTTATGGCTATGATGCACGTTTTTCGTCGTTAGCTAACCCCTATTTGTATATGGTATTAATGAAATGTTCGGGAAAATACATTCATTTAACACAGAGAGTTTGTAAAATGTGATGTACGTTCCACACAAATAAACAGAACTCATACTAAACAGTACGCCCCGCTGGATGCGCTAGGGATTTTTTTGTGGTGTCTGGATCACTGCATTTGAGCCTAAAGTAAGTCTGATTTACTTTGTGTAACACACAATTGATACTGCAGACTATTTATAACAGATGAAGCCCAAAAAAGTTGATAAATCACATGGCGCCGTCATCTAGCCGCCGTTGTCAGTACTGGCAGTCCCTACAGCTACAACTGAAGGCAACGTTCTAACCAGTGTCCCACCCCGTCCCCGTCCACTGATGTATCTGTTTTCCTGTCCCACTTCACCCCACGTGTCGTCCCATCCCTACCTGCTGTGTTCGAAGGAGCTGTCACACCAACGACAGTAGATGTCGGCACAGGGGGACGGGGGTGTTACACAGGGGACGGCGGTGTTATACAGGGGACGGTGGTGTTACACAGGGGACGGCGGTGTTACACAGGGGACGGCGGTGTTAACTACACAGGGGACGTGATGCCAGGCTGGTTAGTGGTTACGTTAGGATTACGAAGCGGCCGCTCTGTTTTCTTCCCTTGATATCTCACTAAAGTAACGCTGATGCCATATCAAACTTTATTTGCATCTTCCCAATTCTGCGCACGCTAACTGGTCGAAAAAGCAAATAAAAATTGTAACTAGATTCGTAACCTTTAAGACCATATAGTGGAAACTAGGACTACCGCTTGATCTCCAATGACGAACTGGATCGGGTAGTGAGGACCTTTTTCCGGGAAAATAATCTGTATTTGTTACGGAGCGAGCGAAGCGAGCGTAGTCTTTCCTTAGATTAACGGAAATTTCTGAGTATGAGCGGGCCGGCCGGCCGTGCGGACGCTTTTGCGAGGCTTATATCTCAGCAATCACTCGACCGATTTACACGGGGTAATTTTTGTAGGGTAGCTTCATTCCTTCTACCAAGTATTGGACTATTCCCGATGCATGTGGGTGACCCCTTATGCACGTGCCACGTGCAAAACGAAGAGGACAGGTGTCAGTTTTGTAATTGTTGCAATATCTCGGTAACTACTTGGCCGATTGCGCTGAAAGTTGGCATGTAGGTAGGCACCCACTAGGCACTGCATATCCATGTGCCAGAGTTGGGGTGCTGCTGCACGTGCGCACGTGCAGGGGTCGTTTCCAGATCTCGAGAACGGCTGGACCGATGGCGCTCAAATTTGGTACACGGATAGGGACCAGTTAGTAGGGTGCCGTGCACAAGTCAGTTGGGACCCATTCTGCACGTGCGCACGTGCAGGGTGCCGCTTCCAGATCTCGAGAACGGCTGGGCCGATTGTGCTCAAATTTGGCACATCGCTAGAGACCGGTTAGTAGGGTGCCGTGCACAAGTCAGTTGGAGGTACCCCCTCGAAATTTCGCACGTGCAAGGCTCACCCTCTCGCTCGCTCCGTTAGTCGCCCCAAAAGGCGCTATACTGGTAATTAGGCTCTGAGTGATCTGACCCTGACCTGACCTCGGCGTGTGCTTGTTTTATTCTTGACCTTTATTTTCCAGTGACCTTTTCCTAGGAATTTGAAATGCAAAAATGATCAGCCAAGGCATGTGCCATAAAATAGCAGTAAAGCTTTGGAGCAATGGGACCCTTTTATTCTTTCCTTATGGTGGATGCGTGATGAGGACGAGTGAGCTGACCTGCCCTGTACCTCTCCCTCCCCGGGTGTCCGTACCAGTGGTGTCCTGTCCCTGCCGTGGCCGGTGGGTGAGTTGAGGGAGACAAACTCGATAGTGGTGATCTGAACACCGTCCGGGTCCCGGCAGACGGCCGCCGCCTGATAATGTTCCTTCTGACTCTGAACCGACTCCGTGTGACTCTGCACTCAGTCTCCCCGTCGGACTGTAAACTGTCACTCTCCGTCGACTCCTTTATGACTCTCCATGTGACTAAACTCACTCCCCGTGCTCTCCGTCTGACTCTCCGTCTGACTCTATCTGACTCTCCCCGTTCTCCCGGCAGGCGTCCAGCTCCGACTCCGACTCCAGCTCCGACTCTGGCTCCGACTCCGACTCAGCTTCGGCGGCCGACTCATCACCGAAGAAACAAAAGAAATCGTCATCGCCGGCCTCGACGGCAGCGGCGGTGCACGTCCGACGAACCCCGGACCAACGGCCGCCCTCCGCCGCCCCCGCCCCCGCCGCCGTGCCCACGGCCGCCCCAGGCTCCGAGAGAGCCGTTGACACCCAGAAAGCCGCTGACGCTCAGAAGTCTGCACAGAGGCGCGAGCTGGGACCGTCTCTGTCGGAGGAGTCCGATGAAGGCGATGGCGCAGCTCAGACCGGCGGGCCGCCATCCGCTGTTGGATCTGGTGCAGTTGAGACTGAGGAGGAGCGGCCCCGCGCGGCGCAGGTGGATGGGTTGGAACGCAGCAGCGGTCTGGGTTCCAATGTTGACGATAAGAAGCTTAGGACTGAAGACCGTCCTGTACCAATGCCAGTACTGCCGCAACCGCAGCAGCAGCAGCAGCAGCAGCAACATCTACAGCTACAGCAGAAGCAGCAGCAGCAGCAGCAGCAGCAGCAGCAGCAGCGGCAGCGGAAGACCGGAGAACTGGCTCTCTCGGAAGAATCTGACACAGACACGGAGTCAGAAAGGTCGCCCGTCAAACCCAGACAGTCTCATGTTGACGCCAAACCGGTGAACCCGGCTTCACTGGCGCAGCAGCACAAACCTGAGCCGAGCTCGGAGCTTCGTTCCGTCGCCAAACCGTCCCTGTTCGGGTCACCGCCACTGTCAAAGCCAGAGACGCCGCGGTCGTCTGCCAGACCTAGGTCGTGGCTGGCGCTGTCTGAGGAGTCGGATTCCGAGGGTGAGGAAGCGGTAAAGCCGGTTAAATCGGTAGGTGACTCAAAGCCGGAGTCGTCGGCGGCGGTCGCGGGATCGGCCGCTGCACCGGTGGACGGTCCGTCGGCGGTAGGTGAGACGGAAAGGGTGGCTGACGAAGGACGAGAGGTCAGAGTGACGTCACCAAAACCCGAAATGATTGAGTCGGTGGAGGCCGAAACGGCGTCAAACGAGGCGAAACAGACAGCTGCGGTGGCCGCTACCGAAAATGATATGGCGGTTACTGATGCAACACTAGTTGATGAATCAAAGCAGTACCAGCCGCAGGGTGCTACAGAGAACTTGCTAGATCTCCCGGAGCGTTCAACAACCCCAAAGCAGAGCACACAACCGACAGAGGCTCTCGCATTTCCACGAGAGAGACTGGAGATCCGCCATCCCAGTGATGCCTCCGGGGTGCCACCTGAGCTGCCAAAGCCTGACCGGAGCTCTGAGGGTCAGCCGAAGCTCCAGGACAATGCAGAGCTGCAGGCAGCGGCTTCAGCGACTGAAGAGAAGCCTTTGGTAGATTTTGGCGTGCAGGAGACAACGCCAACCGGCGCTCCTGTGACTGCAATGGGGAATGCCAACGAGTCTTCAGTTTCTGACTCGGGCGCGGCGGAGCCGAAACTGGCGGGCGATGAAATGGACATATCAACAGGCTTAAATGAAGAGTCAGCGCGTATGACGGACGATATCATTTCTCAGGAACAGACCAAAGCTACAGAAGAGGTCGCTCTGTCCCACACGGAACTGAGCTTCTCGGCACCACAGGACGAAGTCACTGACGGTTGCACCAGTGTGCCGTCCGTGCAGGCCGGGTTAGACTCGGACCAAAAGAATGTGACGACCACTCCGGAGGGAGAAAATGGAATGAAAACAGCACGGACTTCCGACGTTCAAATGCGCGTTACGGATGAGATTCAAACGCCGACGGCGCTCACTCCGACGAAGAACAGTGATATGCCAGAATTGGTGGATGAAACTGATGTGAAATGTGTCGCTGAAGATACATCTGAGCACACGGAGGCGACTATAAAGGTACCGGAAGAAGCGGCGACTGTTCAAGAGGAGCTAGCTAGTGAGACGATAGGCGGGGGAAGTGATGGAGCGGCGCCGAAGACTGCTGAGTCGGGTGGTACCGAGCAGGCTGCCGCGAGCTTTGAGGGTAGGACGGAAGAGCTGCCGTCATCAGAGACGAGTACCGAGATAGAACCATCGGCGGAGAAGGTCAGTGTCGAGGTGTCCGACAGACCTCGCACTGGTGACACTGCAGTGGAGGGTCCGGAAGACTCTTCGTCACAACGTCTTGACGATGTCGAGACGAAAACACCAGAGCCCTCTACAACACTCAACTCAACGTCTGAGAAACCACATGTCGAGTCTCTCACCGCGGAAACAGCACCGCAGGAAGTGCCGTCTTTGGCTGCCGCTGTAGTCCCAGAAACAACTGCATCAGAAAGCTCTGTCCCCATCCAGGATCAAACCACCAGCCTGCCGACCCCCGCGCCGCCTGCTCCGACGCTAGAGACATCGACGGCGGCGGCGCTGTCTTTCCTCCCGTGCTCTGCCTCCGACGAGCCTCTCATCTCTCTCCCGGGCGCCAGTGGGCCGCCCAGCTCGTGGCCGCGGCCACCGAGCACGGAACAGGAGCCGGAGCTGCCGCTGCCACAGCTGCCGCAGCTTCCCGAGCCGGAGCACCAGCCCGAATTCACGCTGCCGCAGCTGGAGCTCGAGCCGCCGCCGCCGCCGCCGTCGGGCCCGGGCGCCGGGGTGGATCAGCACATGATGTTCGGCGATCAGCCTGTGTTCATGGACGGAGTGGAGATCTCGTGGCTGCAGCCGTCCCAGGAGGTAGTGCTCTGTCCCGATCAGGATTTGTTGAGTCAGCACCAGCAGGTGCTGCAGGAACAGAGGGAGTCGGAACAGATGGTCACCGAACAGGTAGTCACCGAACAGATTGTGACCGATCAGACACATCAGCTGCTGACCGAACAGCTGATCAATGAACAGGACGTGGTCTCGGAACAGGTGATAGAAAACTCTGTGATCAACGATGATGTCGACGAAGAACTAGAAGTTGACGATCCGGTGCCCATTTACTCCAAGTCAAAGTCCAGAGGCCGTCGTCGGCCACCAATGGCGCCGAGGCTGTCGGGAGAACCACCCCGACCTCGGTTTGTTATAGCCGACCAGCGACCGAAGGCACCCTCGGGCTCAGCTGCGGCCTCGCGGCGTCCGAAGGCAGCCACACGGCGTCCGAAGGCAGCCACGCGGCCGCAGTTCGTCATCTCGTACCCGCAGATGGAGGGTCAGGGTCCAGCGCCCGGCGGTGAGCAGGTGGTGATGACCTGCCCTGTACCAGAAGTTCCTCCCGAGAGCGCAGACGGACAGAAACCCAAACGGAAGCTGAAGATCATGACGAAGCCCGGTCCGATCCCGGGCACTGAGCCGACGGCGTCTCCGCTGAGACCGTCGCTCGCACCCAAGCCAGAGCCTCCGACTCGCGCGGCGAATCAGGTGGTCTACGTGCCCAAGCCGAAGCCGCGTCCGATGGAGGCAAGCCCTTCCCCGCGGCGCGTAGTGCTCGGAGAATCGCGCGGGCGGCCGGCGAGCTCCAGCGCTGCTGCGCTGGGATCCTCGTCCTCCCCGAGGGTGATCTACATCAAGCCGACCGGTGAGACGGGGTCGCGCGGGGCGGCTGTCGCCAGCCCGCGGCCCGCCGGCAGACCGAAAATCATCGTGGTGCGGCCACAGACTGCGCCGACGAGCTCGGCGGCGGCGCCGGCAGTGAGGGTGGTCCGTCCGCAGTCCACAGCGACGCGCGCCGTCCGAGCAACCTCCACGGTATCGTCGTCACCGGCGCGCGCGGGCGCATCCCGGTCTCCGCAGGTGTTTGTGGTGAAGACGCCAGGAGGCACCCGCTCGCCACGGTTCGTCAGCCGGACGGTGCCGGTGTCTACTGCGACTCCATCGCCGCCGCCACCGCCTCCGCCGCCTCCAGTGACGTCACAGCGGTCCGATCTGGACCTGCTGGCGCAGATCTGCGAGAGCGAGAGTCTCAACACGACCATGGCACGGCAGGTGAGAATGGGCGGCGGATTGGGTGGCCACTGGCCAGGGAGGTGATAACGATAATGGGTTAGGGAATTAATGATAATGCTCGATGTTTCGAACACTTAGAGCTACAGTTGAGTTCAGTTTCGTTCAATGTTTCGTAGTTTGTTAGATTTTGAGCTCTCTGGTGTTTGTAGTGAGCATTTTGGGTAGATAATTTATTAATGACAGCCCAGGGTTCGTTGGTGCCAGATTAGGTATTAACCCGCGCACCGACGGGGGGGGGGGCGGATATCCGCCCCCCCCCCCTGAGGTTTTTCGCGAATAGCGGGAAAACCGCGGCGCGTAGCGCCGCAAATTTGGTATGACTATTCTCTCATCAATTTTACACATGGTGTGCAAGTTTGAACCTCCTAACTTTTAAGGTCAGGTCACCAGGTCACTTTGAATGACCCAACCTCAAGTCACTTTTTTGCAACTTTGTCACCGTGCCAGAGCTACAGTAGATGTCGGAGGCCTTTGAAAGTCGCAGGATGTTATTAGGTCATTAGTAGCTACAATTTGTATATCTCGGAATTTTGATATCGGTGACCTAAGGTCAGGTCAATTTCTCGACCTCCCCATTATAAGTCAATGGGGGAAAAATCAACTCCCTGTTTTTACCACTAAAACGGGTCGGAATGGCCCCATAAACCATACATGACCTCATATACGATCAACCTTCACTACCGTGAGGTCTGTTTTGCTGTTGGGCAGCTGTAAGGTCATGTGACGTCATCAAAGGTCACCAGCGGTTTTTTGACAATAACTCCGTACAGGAACAAGATACAGCCGCGCGGATGGTCTCATTGTGTTCAGCTCGTCAAGGCGCATCGAATGATATACATGATGACCTCGAGGTCACGTGACCTGAGGTCAACCTTTGACCTTGAACTTTCGAGGTCAACATATATATCATTCGATGCGGATTGACGAGAGGATCACGATGCTGCCCTTAGTTTGTTCCTATATTGACTAGTTCGAAAGTTATTCGAGAAAAACTCTCTCCATACCTAGCGCCGCCATTTTGACTTTTTCGACCCCTGTGACGTCATCTTTGACCTGACCTGAAAATGACCTTAGTAAAAATTGTAGACCTTGTCCGTGCGTATCCCTTGCCGTTTACCGCTTGTCGCTATCTTGCTTCGTTCTCGAGATCTCAGGGGGGGGCGGTCATCCGCCCCCCCCCCGTCGGTGCGAAGTTGGCGCAGACCCCCGTCGGTGCGCGGGTTAAGTTACATGTCTGTCTTTATTATTATTTTCGCTTTTAGGTCACAAGACAATCGGCTTTTCAAATTTCATGGTTGATGTGCTTTTCATTCAGTCGCTGTTTTTTGCCCTGCGAATATGAAGTGATATCCATTTCGAATAGCTTTTCGTCAGATTTTATTTGTCCTGTGTTTCCTATGATGCAGCCCTTTCCGTTATTTATTCGTCATTAGCCGGTAACTTGCCCCGCTCCCCCCCCCCCCCCCGGAACCCTGACCACGTATACGACTGCTGACATCCCCCTCCCTCCCCCACAGCTATCAGGGGAAGTCGCCCTGGACGATCCGACCACCGCTGCCAACGGCGACCTCCTAGTAACCTCCGAACAGCCACCTCAGGAACAACTTCAACCACCTCAGGAGCAGCAACTGGAGCAGGCTGAGGATCAGCAACAACTGCAGGCTCAGGAGCAGGAGGTGGTCTCCAATGACGCAGAAGTGGACGGAGGCAAAATCCGCATCCTGTTACCCGACGGAACGGCCGTGTTTGCCGACCTCGGCGACCTGGACGGACTAGACGGTACGAGTCAGTTTTCTGCGGGGTCGTGCGCGGAAATGGGCCGTATTGGTCATTAGGAAGGGCGTGAAAGTTTTTATATTCACAGTCGATTTTGTAGCCTTAATTATATTTCTAAATTATCAAAACGTCACCCTCCTGAGGCCTGTTTCACTAAGAACTTGCGATTACAAGTGTTTGAACTTTACAATTCATAAGTATTTTTGCAAACTATGTAAAATCGGATTTCACTAAACTTCATCATCAGCGGCACCTCCGATAAAAAGAGTTTGCAAAAAAACTTTTAAACAGTAAAAATGTTTTTAATCAAGAACTACAACATGTTACAGATATTGCTTCTTCTTATCAAATTATGTCTAGTATTCATGTAAAAGATGCATGAATAAATTATAAATAATGATGCTGTTTCTAAATGGTATAAATGATAGTTCACAATATTTTATTATTGAAAGAAAATAACACCCAAAACATTTGACAGCAGAAGACTGTTGAATGCAATTATGGCGCGCGAATGACAAAACATGACGATATTTATTTATTGCTCGTAGCTGGTTCGTAGGGATTGTGGTAAGTAAAAAAGAGCATATAATGATTCAGCATATCATATTTGTTTTAAATAATTGATTGCTTTGCATCATTGCACAAAAATTAATAAAATTCCGAACGTAAGAGCCACTGGAATTTCGTGTTTGTAATTACAACGTTTTCTTTCAAGTTTTTGGTCTTCGTGAAACAGAAAGTTTGCGATTTCGATGTTTCTTTCAAACTTTTTTCTTGTAAAAAAGTTGGTAAATTTTTAAACTCAAAATTAATGCTCGGAGGTTTCGTGAAATCCAAATTTCAAATGTTGGTAAATATTTCTTTTAAACTCAAGTTTTTTCTTTGTAATTACACACTTTATTTGTTAGTGAAACAGGCCTCAGATGGCAACATATGCAATCATTGTGCGTTATATATTCTGACTCTATGTTTAGTTCATCTTGCGTTAATTCACATTTTCTTTTATTAAATATAGTCGAACTTTATCATCTGTGTACAATGTTCCCTGAAGCTTTGCCCGTGTGCCGTGTTCCATTATCATTTTTTTATAGTCTTCTCTGAACTCTGCCTGCATAACGATAGATACCTCCCCCCTCCCTTCATATCCTGAGCAGCCCGGCCTAGACCTTTTCCACCCTTCTCAATTTTCCCCAGAAGCCCATTGAGGGAACTTCTTTTCCATCTTACCTACTATTTTACACCCCATCACAGTCCGGCTAACTGCCCGTTTTCTCTCGCCACCAGGGGTCTCTGAGGAGGTGATAACGGAACAGTAACTACTACCACCCGCTCTGGAGCTGTTTTCACCTTTATACACTACCGGAGCCTGCTCTCCGCGGCGCAGAGCTATCCAGCGACAGGACTTTTCCCATCAGTGGGGATATTTTACGAGCGGGACTCACCCCGCGGTGTCAGACTCCCAGTTGCGATAACCCCAGTCGATGGGAATCTGCCGAAAATAGGTGACTTTTGAGGAGTAACTCTGGTGATCAACATTGAAGAGTTGATGCCTGGAGCTACTTAGAGACCGAAATAATGGACTTTTGTACCCCGGGTATTGGATACCGCCGTAGAACTGTGAGGCAAACTGTGAGCTCCAAGCGATGGCGTTAGCGGAGGGTAAATACTGGCGTGAGCGGAGGTGGGGATGGGGATTTGTGAAGGCAGCTGTCGGGTTGATACCGATCAGTGTACCCGGTGGTCCAGACCGGCTCAGTAAGCACCCCAGCGGCGGTGAGTGACCGAACGCTGACATTGCGTCGGTAGGTACTCTGACGCTGAGTGACGCTACTGGCCGGCGCGGGGCTGTTTTACGAGATCGGACGCCGCACCAGTCTCGATGAACTGACGCTGGTATGTGAGCGGTGGTTTGCTCTGGCTGCAGTCCTACCTCGCCCCATCCATCGCCCATTGGACAGACGCGCGCCGCCATCGCCAGTGTATCTCCCGCGCCACATTTGTCTACCCGCTCGCCGCGCCGTGTTCGTCTCGCTGCGCCGTCTACCATCAGTCCCCTCTGCGGTGGCGAGGCAGGGAGCTGTTTTTACAAAGGCGCCGCGTGCGCCGCTGTTTCTGGTACCGCCACTACCGCGCGGCCCGGCGGGGTTTATTACCATGCGTTATGGACGGTTGTGAGGCACAGTGAGCCTCTAGCTGTGAGAGTGAGTGAGTTGAGTGACAGTGAGTTAGCGAGTGTGAGTTATAGTGTTACCGAGTTACCGGCTGAGTGTAGAGCGTTGACAAATAAACACACTGTACTGCTTTGGTGATTGAAGGCGATGGGACGATAGAGAATTGACATAGGCAAGTGACCAAAGACGGACAAAGGCAATCGAACAACCTACACATTACAGAATCCATTCCACATATCCGGCAAGATAAGAACGGATAGGATCTTAGGTATCCATTGCCCAAATTACATTTCCTTTGCCTTTGGGGTCGGCGTAACCCCGTGAACTTGGCTCTCCACCCATTTCCCATAACCCCGTACCTTTGTCAGCTGGTGACTCAGCACGGCATCCACTATTCATTAGTGGGGAGTGGTGCCTAATCCACATTAACCCCCCCCCCACAGAGCGGGCTGACACCCCCTGGGGCCGACACGAGTGTCGCGTGTCGTCTACTACAGGTGTGGTCAGTGGTCGGCTGGTGCCGACACTGGAGTGGAATGGCTACCATGGAGGGTTGGAATATGACGAGCAGAGGGTGGGATAGACACTCAATTCGCATTACTCGCTTGTGAGGCTAAGCATCACACGAGACAAACCACAGGACAGGGAATGCCTTAGGATGAAGGAGACCTGGGGCGGCAGTGGCAATTAAAATATTGAAAACGCTGCACACTTATGCTGACATATGCATGATTAGCAATAGTGAAAACAAAAATATTGTCACTTCGCAAGCGATCGCTACATAGCGACAGACAAGCACAGGAAGTGTTTGATAAAATATTCCGTTTATTACTGCATTATAATCCAGTTTAAATACACACATTCATACATATGTGACCCTAGCATTCCACACACAAACTCCAAAGCGATTACTCGCGCACATACGTACCTAGCATTAGGAACAGGTCAAGCCAAGCGGCACTGGTTGGCAAGACGCGCCGAATTCGTCGACATTCTGCCGACAATTCAGCGCTAACGAGATCCGCCGCGGCAAGAGACACAAGCGAACACATAGCACGTTCACACACCGCTACAAAACGCGCAGAACCTCAGAGAACACCGTTTTGATATGATTCAACACAAATACGCTCATAAGCCCGCTATTGTGCAATGTCCCAAGCTTCAATCGATAACATTTGTGAGTACCTCGTGAAGCACAGTTTCGCGAACATTTCGACAAAAACAGCCAGCGGTAAGAAATGTGCAGTGCTTTCAACTGCGGTGGTTACAGATTTGTGCCTTGTGCAATACCTAATTGACACGAAAACCCCCACTTTTAACCCATGTCGGTGTTATGGAGGCATATCGGCACTCCCTTGCACCCACTGGCTGCACCCACAAGTGTGCCGCGACCCGCTACACCCAGCATACACCTAAAGAAATTGTCAATCGAGACAGTCGAGCGGGACATTGCACACGGCCACAGTCCCGGGTCCAGTCACGTCCAAGCTGAAGAGATGATCATACTGGCCTGAACAAGCTACGTGAGCAGCTTAAGGGACGCAGGCCCGCAGTGCCCCCTTCCCTTCCCCACAGATCGCGGAGCGAGCTCAGCGGCCGACGTCCCAACACAAATATAACCGGGACTGACGTGAACCTAGGAGACAATCGCGCAACACTGAATACACCACAAACACCTCCGTGCAAACGCATCGAATACAATACCCGACGAATCATTCATACATGATGTCACAACAAAATACACAGAAAACACCCTTTTGGCAGAGACGTTTTACGTATAAAACGCTCTTCGACAACACAGCAAGGAACAACGGCATAAATACGGCACGTGCCACCAAATAAATCCACATAAATATCTGAGAAAAGCTCGCTCACGCCTCCCGTATAAAGCTCATCAGATCCGAGTGACCCTTCCGACGACCCCGCGTCAGTTGCAGATCTCGAATATGGCCGTTCAGCCCTCCCAATGGCTGCAGAGCCCCGATGGCAATAGAACGGAACCCTTCTGAGGAGAGAGGGAGGGCGCCGCACAGTGTAACTGGCCGATATGACGTCACGTAAACCATCTATGACGTCACGGTGCCGTACGTATTACGTCACAGCGCTGTGCCTGACAAGAATGACGTCCACGGTCCGGTGCATTGTGTGCCGTCCGTGTGACGTCACAGGCCGCCTGTGTGACGTCACTGTGCCCTGTACATACGCCGTCACTGTACCGTGTGAGTATGACGTCATTGCCAGTGCCGGGGTCCGGGCGGCCGCCCTCGGCTGTTGAGGGTTCCCATCGAGCAGACCTCACTCATATCAGGTCTGAGGAGAGAGAGGGTCAGGTCAGGGTACCTGGATAATCACAGATTCAATGGGGGGGGGGGGGGAAGTAAAGTACAGTCACTCACTAAACCTCCCGTGAAGTCCATGCGAATGCCATTGGACCTAATGGAGCATTGAAAAAAAAAAACGGAACAACACATGGTTCTTAGTTCTTACTTCCTGTAATAACTGACACCAAGACGCAAAGAAAATATGATTTACTAATCCCATGATCCCATCATTCTCACATCCCACTAACCTGGCAGTCACTACATCAATTATAATTGATGTAGTATAATAGATGATTATAATCGATAATTATCGACCACTCTCATCTCAATATTTCAACCTCTCACTCCTTCAGCTCTCCTGCTACCTATATCACTATTTATATCCTAATCCTTACCCTATTCCTTACCTCATCACCTCACCCACTCCTTATCTCACTACCTGTCTCACTCCCCTAGCTCCCCCTCTCCGTTATCTCACTACCTGTCTCACCCCCTAGCTCCCCTCTCCCTGATCTCACCTGCTGCTGATGCCGGTCACCTGATCCCACGGGTGACTGTACTCGCTCTCGGCGTACGGCTCCTGTACGGGCACTCCTCCGCCCGGCTGCTGCCTCCGCAGTGTCGCCAGGCCCGGCTGCACGTACACCGCCGGCACGTCGCGGAGAGGTATCGCCTCCGGCACGCGCGCGCCGCCCTCCTTGGCGACATGATTCTCCGCGGCGCCGCGCACCCCCGCGCCGCGCTGACACAGCACGAATAGCATCACGGCGGAGACGAAGACGAGAAGTACGCCGATGAAGAGAAGACCGTGCACGTGAGGCCAGCGCTGTCGGAAAAAACGCGTCGGCGAGCACCAGAGCCACGCCCGACATGGCAGCGCCGATGAAGAAGATTTGTAAGAAGTAGTAGCAGAAGTTGTGGAAGCTGGCACAGTGGCCCCGGTAGGGCCAGAGGACGGCCTCCTGCGCGGCGGCCGCGTGGCTGTGACTGTGGACTGCTGCTGGCGGGCGGCGGCGGCGGCGGCGCGGCCGGCGGCGGCGGACCGGCGCTGCCACCGGCGCGGACCACGTGAGGCACACGCGCCGGGGGATCAGACCAGAGTAGGGCATGCTGGGCACCGGTGACGGCGGCGTCGGCGGCGGTCCGGAGCTGTACCAGGGCGGACCGGCGGGCGGCGCCGGCCGCGCGTGCGCCGGGTGCTGGTAGCCCGAGGAGCCGCTCGAGTCCAGGGTGGACATGCTGAGATAATGGCACCTGTAGCAGGGGGGGGGGGGGACATGTCTACACATTGAATAACAGGGCAGCCTACAAAATGTCTCTTTACCATGCTTATTTTACAAATGACTTATGGCAGTTATGACTTATGACAAATGTAAAATTCCTACAAAACTGTCAACTAAGAGTAAATATTGTTTTATGAGGAATTATGTCTAGCTCAACATTTTTTGCAAAATTTTGTATTGACACTACAAGCAGGCATTCCATCACTCCAACAGAATATCATCTTTGACACCATCATATAATCCACTTTGAACCCAGACATAATGTACACTGCCAAGCATCCATCTCAGCCAAACTCAGCATATGATGACCAAAGCCTACCAACTTCATTAGGGATGCCATTCAAATTTCAACCTCTGAGCTACTATCCCATCATCTTCTACCATCCAGTACCATCCACCACCAAGCTAACCTCAGATTCTGACGTGCCCTGGTAAATCAAATTTAGAGGCCACCACGTCCACCATTGTTTAAGTTTAAGTTTAAGTTTAATATAGTGAGCTATGGTAGACAGGGTCTATTCAGTGCTCACTTCAAGCATTAAACTGGGCCAGACTGGGTAACTTAGGTACTGTGGATTTTAAAGAGAGAGGATAGCGCCGTAGTGGTCCTGAGCTTGTCTAGCCGGTTCTTGAAAGGTTTGTGTTTTCAGACATTATGATCTCCTGAGACAGCTTGTTCCATGCTGAGACTACTCTGTTTGCAAAGAATTTTGCTCGAGCTTGGGTCCTGGACCTCCGTATCTCAAGTTTGAGCTGGTGACCTCTGGTCGTCCTTCCGTGGTGGCTAGTAAAAATTGACCTGGGCGTACGTTCAATTTCCCCTTAAGAATCTTAAATGTTTCTATCAAATCTCCCCTTCTGATCCTTTCTTCCATACTTGTCATGTTTAGTACTTTCAAACGTTCTTCATATGGTACTCTTTTCAATCCATGGACTAGTTTAGTGGCCCTCCTTTGTATTTCTTCAAGTGCTTGCATGTCCTTATTCAAATAGGGACTGTAAAGGAATGTTATAATTCCTTTTCTGTATCAGGATATTTGCAGAATAAAAGGAAGTCCTGCTACACAACTTTGACATAATTTTGGAATCAAAATGATGTCCTAGTTTGGTTCACATTCTACTACCATTCACTTGGGTCAAATCAATAATTTGTGTATGCATTGGGAATAAATGGGAGCCGAGAAGCATAGGGTAACTGTGGGGAAACGCACCCCTGGGTTAAACGCCTCCCCTAAAAAATCGTATTTCTTATCGACGGATAGGTGTTTTATCCTGTCTGTCAGAACAGCCAGCTGCTTGTTTACGTAGGTCTCTATTTCCGGTTCTGCGTCTTGAGGAGCAGCGTGGGTAGGTGCTGATGTTGGTTTTGGGTGTGGTTTTTGTTGTTTTTACAGAAGATTCCTAATATTTTGATGCCCTCTTTACATCACAAAACTTGCTATTGTGCACATCACTCAAAACTGCGTTTTATTGTCATTCTGTTGAATGTATTATGCTGCGGCGTTAGTGGCGCGTTTTTTGTCAATATTTTGTTGACCGGAAATGGAGTGGATGGGGCAAGACGCCTACTTGATGCATGGGGCAAGACGCCCCCAGTTTTCTGAAAGGGGGCGTTTTGCACGGTGGTGAGAGTGCAGGGTAGCGCCCTGTAAGTCGGGGCCGAAAAGGCCTCTCCCTGTCCTTTTTTGCTGATATATCCTAAACGACTGCAGATATCGTCACCAAACTTTCAGGACTCCTCTGGGCATCCATTTTACACATTGCAACAAAATTTTATTCCAAAGGCTATGGTAGGTTGACCACAAATGACGTCAGAATGACGTCAAGTTCTGCCATGTTCATCATTTTCTGTTGATGGATGGGGTGGGGGCGCTTTGCATATGGGTGTGGGCGTATTACCCAGGGTATGGGGCAAAACGCCCTTTTGTAAGGGTATGCGAAAACCTTTTTGGGGGGTTAAATACCACACGCAGGTGTCTTTTCTTGGTCTCAAAGCGTAGTAAAAAGAATGAGCTACATGATGGTGCCCAAAGGTTTAAGTAATCTGTGTTGGGTTGAGTGTCAGAAGGTTTCGCGCTTAAGGGGGGCGTTTTTGACCTATTCACCCTAATGGTTTAGGAAAATAACTGTCATTGACCATCCTTAACTTTGGCACCACTGTTCCTCATTGCAGTCAGCCTGAAAGTGGCAAGGCAGGCAATGCATTTTTGACCTAAAAAAAGGTGTCAGCAATCGTCATGTCGATTTAATTTTTGGCCGCTGCATGATGAGGCATCAACTGACTTCTGGAGATGGATATTATTGACCTCCAAAGATGCGCATGCATTTAATGAACCATTCATGAGCAGTAGGAAGGAACAACATAATTGATCTGGGCAGCTCACGAGACCAATTCAATATGTCCACTATATTTTATATTTATCAGTTAAAAAGCTATACCCTAAATAGCCACCATGACATATTCCTTCCTTTTGATGCTTTTCTGTATTCTTTAAATTATTTCAAACATATTTGATGCATACAGGCTGTTTCAAAACGACCTGCTAATGATATGCAATCTGAGACATAACCGGCGCAATCACTTCTCACCGAAAAAAGAACATACTTACCGCGATCCGCACTAAACCATATCAATAAGGGCACAGTATTTATCTTCCTGATTGCGAAAATTCGACACAAACTTGTGAACTTCAGAGAACCACCAAAATACAACCTAACAAACAGTCACATACCCCAGCGATTCACAAAATGCTCACTTATTCAAGGTTGCTGAAAATCGAACATTGTTGCCAAATGCCAGATGTCCCTAAAACGAAGACAAAATGGCCTGCTAAAGTACTGCGTCCGGCGCCCAAAGTCTGGCTGACATCTTGCGCAGCAGATTTTGCTCACGAAGATAAAGAAATTAAATAGATAAAAAGAAATAAAAGCCGTTGAGACACTCCACGGCACGATGGAAGCTAGGTATTTTCAGCAAACCACCGCTGGTTGAGGCCGTGCAAGTTCTTTACTCATCGTTAGCACTTAGCTCCGCAACTGGCCAGCGCGATAACCTAGAACAAATCACATGTGCAGAAGATGCCGCTCCAGTCACACCCTTTTCTTTTAGTTCACGTCGTGAACATTCCTTTGTTTACCATGTGTTCTTTATAGCGAATCTCTAAGAATCTTGATCGTGAAAACATCACCTAGCAGCTGTGAACATAGCTGTGAGACTAAAGGCTTAAAATGGGACAAAAAGTTGCATCGCTCATCCACCGTCGATGCAAACAGTACACTTCAAATTAAGCCCAAAGTAACATCATTACATCATCACGCCTGGCAATGAAAGCAATCGTGCATATACAATCAGCTTCCGCTTGTATTTATCAATACAGCAGATTGCAACATATTTCTGGATACACGAAAAACGACAAAAGCAACAGCAAAACGGATGGTGCACTGAAAAGGGTAATCAAGGCTACAAAACTTCGAAAACAGGCTACGGCCTGACAACTCATAATACGGGGTAGGAGTTGATCTGAAATCTGAATGCATCGTCACTTCCCGAGGGCAAATATTGAATGTGTACAAAACGAATGGTGCTATGCCAACCCGAAAGTCCACTGTCAAACTTAACTATCATACCATTATCAAAACTAAATAGACAACTGATTTTGGGACACACCATGCTTCTCCCAAAGACATTGAGATGACAAGTTGATGTCTGGAAGAGTTGATTGTTCGGTAATTCAGCTCAATGAATACAGAATACGTCCCCCGAACTCTAAAGTCGCAGATCATCGTACAAGGGTCTAAGCACACAGTTCTTACGTTAGTTTGAATGGGGTCACGCTTGGTCTCCCAGCAAAACCGCGATGAGATGAACACACACACAGGGCGCACTCAATGGTCGACATTGTCTATTTCACGCAGAGATCTCTACCAAAATTACAGCTGAAAATGCTGCAATCGACTTACGTCTCACAGCATTTCACAGTTATTTTGTATGTCGGACTCGCCTTCTAACCTCCCACAATCCTAAACTAACCATGAAGATGACTTGACTGTACAAACTAATGTTTTGCTAGCCAAGTGCAGGAGTGAAAACCCCTTAGCTGAAGAAAACACACCAGGCTACTTTCATGACTCGTCCAATCCTCGTTTTTCTCTCGACTTCAACACCACCACTTAATTTTATCGCTGAAACGCGAGGTATTCTCAACGTTCAACCTTACTATCAAAACACCTCACCTACACTTTGCCACGCATTTCAACACATCTTCAGACCCCACCGGTTCCCGGCGGGACACCACACTATCCTTCCAGGTGTAGATTCCCATCAGCATCAGCCACCGCCGTGAACTGTACATCCTCCCCATCGCCGGCCGCTGTGATGACATACTCCTCTTTATCGAATTCGCCAGCCTCCAGCACGGCTCCCTCGTACACGGTACCGTTGGGTTCGGTGATAACGGAGAGGGCGTCCACGACGGCGGCGCCCTCGGGCATGACCTGGTGGAGAGATGGGAGGTCAGTCGGGGAGAGGAGAGGGGGAGGGAGAGAGAGAGGGGGAGGAAGAGAGAGAGAGAGAGAGAGAGAGAGAGAGAGAGAGAGGAGAGAGAGAGAGAGAGAGAGAGAGAGAGAGAGAGAGAGAGAGAGAGAGAGAGAGAGAGAGAGAGAGAGAGAGAGAGAGAGAGAGAGAGAGAGGAGAGAGAGAGAGAGAGAGAGAGAGAGAAAGAGGGCTAAAAAATAGAAAGGTCGTCAAAGTCAATCTAAGAAATGACTATACGTACACTACATGACAGAACCAGTCCTTGCTCATAATATCAGCAAAGATACGTCACATCACTGATCACGAAGCTGATCTGTTCGCTAGCCGTCACTGCCTTCTGATGGAGAGCCCAGGCCTGATCGGGGCCCGCCTCAGGATCCCAGCCGTCGGCAAAATCCTTCCGACAGAGGTGCAGTGGCGCAGCGACATCCCCGGTGGCCGTCTTCAGGGCCCTCCAGAGCCGCTAGCCTCCGCGGGACCCCAACGGCAGAAACATCAATAGACATCATTATCAACAACAAGAGCAGCTGCAGCAACAGCGGTAGCAACGGCTACAGCTGCCACTGTCTCGTCTCCCCTTCACATCCAAACTTACCTGAACGTCTTCAAACACCACATCGACCACTCCGTGTTTGTGCCGCATGTGGGCGGTGAGCTGCTGCTTCTGGCGGAACCCGTCACCGCACTCCTGGCAGTAGAAGCGGTACTCGTTGTTGTGGATCATCTCGTGCCTCTGCAGGCTGTAGACGCTGACGAACGTCTTGCCACACTGGGCGCAGACGTGAGGTCGCTCCTTCATGTGCACGCGCTGTTGGTGAAGGGGGTCGCGGGGAGGGGTGTTGTGACTTATGATTATGCCAGTGCTCAGTAGTGGAAAGGGGCAGTAGCCATTGGGCACAAATACTTGAACAAAGCTTGGAAATGAAAATAAAAAGTGGATAGTTTAAGTCCAGCTTTTCTCGGTAAACTAGTGCGGTCGTTTTGGCGTAACACGAATAAATTCAAAATAAACAAGCTGACTGCCAGTTTAACTGCTAAACGCAAAGTGTGTTGCCACTAAACCATACACTGAACACCACCAGCCTTTGTTTGCGTCAGCCCCACCGGCCTGCCCGATTAACTCTCCTCACCTTGATATGTCCTCGCACCACATCCTCTCGAGTGAAGACCTTCTTGCAGATGGGGCACGTGTGCGTTATATTATGGGAGCGTTCGTGTTTTCTCAGTTTCTCCGGCACGTGCTCACCACAAATGCTACACACTCCTCCCGCCAGAAACCTGCCGGCTCGTTTCTGAACGGACGGAGGCGGGTGGTCGTCTTCCTCGGGAATTGGCGCGCCCTCCTCGAGGAGTCCCCGCGCCACGAGGTCGGCGTGCTGCCTCATGTGGTAGCGGTAAAACTTCACCTCGCGGTCACAGATGGTGCACTCGCCTGTCGATACATGAAAATACGAGATGTAAGAGATGTGGTGAGAGGAGGAAAGAGGGGAGGTAAGTCAAGTTAGCAAGCCTGAGAGGCGTGGAATACACAGTGGCTACACCATGATACTTCACAGATCACAGGAATATGAGATGAGATTAAATGAAAACTTTCACGTTTCCATTCCATCAAAGCTTCTTACAATCCACTCCCCGCTACTTGAACCTACCGTCCCATCCTCCCTTTAACCATCCATCCAATACACCACTTGCCGTCCCAGGATATTTATCCTCCCTCCTTCCCTTCCACCTAATTATTCCTACATTTACCATACCGTCCCCCATAGACCTCTGTATACGGTATACAGAGGTCTATGCGTCCCCATATAGCGTTGCCCCACTTCTTCCCCACTCCCTGTCTCTCACCAGATCTGTGCTGGAGTCGACAGGCCTTCCTGTGTTCCAACAGCGACGGCCGGTTGGGGAACTCGGTCCGACACCGCTTACACCAGGGCTTGTTGACGTGCTGACGGAGGTGCTTCACCATCGAACTGGGGCGGAGGGAGATAGTAGGGAGGGGTGTCAGCCCGCAAAGGGATAGGGGAGAGTGGGGCTATCTGTTACAGGGGTAAGTTGCTACAAATCAACTATCATATAATTGAAAATGTTCATGTGCTTTCTAAATTGATCCACCTAGCATGTGACCAATTTGGCACAGCTTAGTTGCATAGTTTGAGCGTTAACTTCAGGAAACCAAAGTGTAACACATAGCCCCACTCTCCCCTACACAGCTGGATGACGGGCGGAACGGCAAATTTGACATGATAATGAAATGATGTGGAAATACAATATAGCTATGGGAGAATGAAGGATGTTACACAACAAATAGTGAAGCAGACAGGTCGGAGATAAAAAAAAAATAAAACAATTGCACAGTTGAAAAGAGCCAGGGTGATGGGCCAGCATCCCCTCTCATCTCCTCACATTCTCCCTCTCTCCCACTTGCCACCACGCCCTCCCTTCCCTCTCCCCTCCCTCCCACACTCACTCAGAGTCCTCAAACTCGATATCACAGCGGCGGCACTCGTATCCGGTGGTGTGGGGTCGCGCAGCCCCGGCCGGCCGGCCTCCACCACCGCCCTCCTCCTCCTCAGTAAGGCCGGACGGGTCGCCGCTGTCCGCCGCGCGCACCTCCAGGTGAATTATCTTCTCCAGGTCCGACTGTAATGGCGGGAAACATGGTGATTTCGTCAGTTCATCGGAGTATACCGTCTTCCAGCCCATATTATCCAGTCCAAACATCATACATAAATCTGCATGCACCAGGAAACATATGGTGCTGGTCTTTCACTTTTTTAATGCCACCAAGAACTCTCCTGTGAACAACGAAATCCATTAGCCTTGCATTGCACCGGTTGCCCTTTACCCGACCATCACCCGCCCCCCCCCCCCCCCCGAACATCATTACCAACCTTGAGCGGTCGTTTGGAGGGAGCCGGCTTGATGTTGAATTTTGCCGTTTTGATGTCCTTCACCTGCTCCTTTAGGGCGCTAACGTCGGTAAAATCTATGACCTGCCGTCGCGAAACACATGAGAATGGGTTAGGGTACAGTAATTCTATTAACTGTCTGCAAAAGACTCACCTCAGATCCAATCGCTGATTCTGTCCTCTATCTCTCCCTTCATACAATTCTCTAATTTTCTCTCGTGATCTTATTCCTTTTCTACCATTTTCCATTTTCCCTATGCTCATATTCTTCACTCCCTCATTCTTTCCCTGATATTCTATACCCACTCTTTTCTTATGGGCTTTCTCTCCTGCATCGTGATTCGTAACCCACTAACTCAGGAATTAGGAGAGCAGCTATGAGAAAGGTAGATAAGGTAGGATAATTCTACTCCCTTTCTCACCCTCCTTCCCTTATACTCACCGTGGGAGTGACTGGCGGGTGTTTTCTGGGCCTCCCCCGGCCCCGTGGCGCTCCGTTTGGCGCCGGTGCCGGCGTGGGTCGCTCTATCGGCTCCGGAGACCAGCGGCGCCTCGCCTTGGGTACCCGAGAGCGCGTGGAGCGCGGCGTCGGCCCCGACGGAGCCCAGTCCGAGTCGTCAGAGTCGTCACCGTTGGCCGGCGGCGAGAGAGCTGTGGGGGAGAGAGAGAGGGTTAGAGTAGCGCAGCGAAGCGGGGGATAGGGAGGAGGGATTATGTGAGTGGTAGAGTGAAAGAGAAGTTAGTGAATGCTAGACAATGTTGGAATTGTGAATTTTGGTCCTGGTCCCGGAGAATAGAATCTGTCCGGAGAATCGGTCAGCTTTAAGAACACTCAACAGATAAATCATCTGTTTAGACAGAAGCTGGGATAAGTGGGATGAGAGAATGGAGAATCGGGAAATGATGGTATAGCATAGAGAAAAAAAAACATCGCCGTACAGACGAATGAGGGGAAAGGGAAGATGACATAAATCAACATGGCGAGAATCTCCCAGTACCTGACAGCCCAATATAGACCCATTTTACGTACCTCCTTCGGGTCGTTCCTCTCCTTCTCCATCTGACTCCGCCTCGGGGCCCGCCCGCTGGCGGCTCCCCGCTCGGAGCAGCTCCTCTATCTTATCTCTGACTTGCTGCAGACAAACGGGAGGAAGGTATACGGTTACATAAGGTTCTATTTACCAAAAGCTCGTCGACGGCATTCCCATTGAAAGACGAATTCAATGCAGAAAATCAAGCGAACTACTAAAGGTTCTATAGCCATCAGTCCTCCCCTTTCCACGCCTGACACTGAGCTGTGGTTCCTCTTCCCTCACCTGATACTGCTGGAAGTGCTGATCCGCCGTATTAATTAGCTCCAGACAGTCTGCACACACGCCGTCTGAGGTGCTGACATTCAGCTTGACATTGGACGCGCAGCCACTGAGTCTCTCAGCCAGTGAACAGGCCGTGGCAGAGGTCCTCTCCAGTACCAGGAGGTAGAGGCCGGCGGACGGGCGCAGGCACAGGTAGCAGCGCGGCGTCTCCGTCTGAGGCGGGAGATAGACATGGGAGTGAGTGAGTGAGTGAGTGAGTGAGTGAGTGAGTCAGTCAGTGAATGAGTGAGTGAGTGAGTGAGGAAGAGTGAGTGAGTGAGGAAGAGTGAGTGAGTGAGTGAGTGAATGAGTGAGGAAGAGAGTGAGAATGAGTGAGTGAGTGAGTGAGTGAGTGAGTGATTGATTGAGTGAGTGATTGAGTGAGTGAGTGAGTGAGTGAGTGAGTGAGTGAGTGAGTGAGCGAGTGAGTGAGTGAGTGAGTGAGTGAGTGAGTGAGTAAGTGAGTGGGCGAGTGTGGGAGAAGGTGAGGGACAAAAGAAGTGAGGGGAAAGAAAGGGAGAAACAAAGAAGAGAGGGGAGGGGAGCTGGGAGGGGAGGGACTCATAGGGAGGGTGGGAACTCCTCATAGGTTTCCTTTCTGACAGAAAGAAAGAAACCTATCATGAGGAGTCGATGATGAAACATATTTGCTCAAGAATAAATCAAACGACAAGAAAGCAGGGCGGTAAGCAAGAAGAACATTATCAAAGAAAGTTTGTTAGAACAACATTGCCTTAAGACTTGGATAGGTAAAAAACAAACAGTCATCTTACACAAATACTCACTATATCCAAATCCTTGACGTCGGAGTCATCAAACTCGGCATTTTCAGCTGCACTGGGGCCCTCAAACTGGGTGCTCTCGGCGCCGGGGTTCTCAAACTCTGTGTCCTCGGACAGCTGAAGCATTTCGCTCGAGTCTTTGGCCTTGACCTCGGTTTCATCCGGGTCATGAGCCCCAGTGTCTGTAAAAGGGGAATCACGGTCACTGGTCACACAATGGAGGAGCATTCAAATTTATTCACTGATGTACACATTTACTACTTGTAGGCAGCTTAAAGAAATAAAACCTCAATCGTGATTTTTTCTTCTGATAAAATGAACCTCTGGTTTATCATCCTGAGCTTATGGCGTGGTCTAAGCGGAGCGGCTGAGCAATGATAAACCAAGAAACATCAGCAATGGTGTTGATAATCAAAACAGCAACGAATATGTGCTCTGGTTTTCACCCAGGGTGAAAGTGTGTCCAACTCCCTGGCGTACGAAATGCCTCTAACTCATCTAGCGTGATGGAGTGTCCAACTCACCGGGCGTGATGAAATGGATCTGGTTGCCGTCCACCCTGACCACCTGCATGATGACCGACTCGGTACCAGTCCTCTCGCCGGCCGGCAGCTGCAGCATCACCTGCTGGCCCTCCTCCAGACTGGCCACGTCCGCGTACCCCTCCAGCTCCGGCGACGGCTCGCAGAGGCCGCCACCGGACATCGTGGAGGTGTCCATAGCAGAGGTGTCCAGAACGGATTCGTCCATGGTGTCGGGTCACCGATGGCGAGGCACTGTAAAGACAGGGGAGGGAGCAGAGGTAAGATGGGGTGGTAAGAAATAAGATCCAGCCGTCTACGCCAATTCTACAGCCATATTTAAAATACATGAGTAAAATTCTAAGGTCATATGACAAATAAAAACCCAAAATGACAATAAAAACGGGATGGCTGGTCGTGATGAGAACTGTCAAATTAGTTATCAGTAGACAGAAGGATAAGTTTGCAATACGGAATATATAATATATAGCCGACCCCACCCCAAGAAGCTTTGCATAGCCTTATATCTCGGCAACCACTCGAGTCGAGACATATCGACAAGTAGTCTTGTGCACCAGACAAATCAATGCCTTTGATCATGGACGAATTTCTGATGCATGTGGGCAGGGTATTACCACTAACCAACAAGAAAAGTGTCATGTGCAAAGTCAAGGGGTTCCAAATTGTTCTGCTACGTGTGATCATCCAGGATTCGCGCGGGTCCTGTTAGTCGGATTTTGCGTGAAAGCGGCACTGCAAACCAAGTTCAATCGATTGGAAGTACACCGGGTACCTACACTACACTGCTGTTTACGCACATTCAGTCAATGAAACCACAGAGAGGGCACACGGTCGGTGCATGGATTATGATATGGTGCATACATGCGTCAACTTTTGCCGCGGCCTTCTGCGGCAACCTTTTTAATAGCAATGCTGCGTTGTGGCGTTCAGTTCCTTGACACATCACCAGTGGCAATATCGCTCGACATAACACCAGCACCGATAACAGACAAGCAAGCGGAGCACTGAACTTCGATCATCATTCTGTATTGCATGCATAATGTTGGTGTTTCTCTTCAGACGCCTCAGCGGAAAACTACCTCCCTAGCGTTATCACATGCTTCATTACATGACAGGAGCATGTCCCTTGGGCTTAGTAATCCAATGTCTCCTCTAGCCCTGCGAAACCCCGCTGAAAAGTTAACAACGCCAGTCGCCTCACTCGGGTATGGTCAATTGCGGAAACAACTCTAGCGATTAGGAGCCCGAAGATGAACCAGCCCAATACGCACCTTATTCCCAATCTTATGAGGGCCGCTAGTGCTAATATGTTAAGTAATTGCAATAAATATTTGGAACGGATTGCTGAAGCCCCGGTAAATCGTAATAGGCTCGTGTCTGATTTCCGTGCTTTCGCGTAGGTGGATACCTACTCGATTAGAGTTAAGCGTAAGTAGAGTTAAGCGAGCAAAGTTAGCTAAGGTTGGGTCTCATCGTCTTGCGCCAAAATTTATGAGATTGTCCACTTGCGCAGAAATTTCTTCATTCATTCGTGCACTTATATTTCCGCGCACAGAATTACGCCGGATGACGCGCCGAAATTCCGCTCCACTTGTTACGCCGGGCATGTCGACCGTCGACGGTAACATGGTTTTTTTTCCAGTCTTGCCCGGATGACGGTACTTAGCATTAGAAACACAATAAGGTCATTTAGGCTCGTACTCCGTTACAAACACCAAATATCGCAACAGAACCAGACTGGGAAAAAAATCCATGTAACCGTCGACAGGTCCGGCATAACGGGCGAATTGCGTCGAAAATTCGGCGCAGCGTCCAGCTACTCCGTACGCCGAAATTTCGGCGCACGGATGGACGAAGAAACTTGAGGCAGATGGACGATTTAAGGAATTTCGGCACAAGACGACGAGAATTAACCTTAGCTACCTTCACTCGCTAGCTACACTCTACATTTGAACAATAAATCAGGGTCGAAAACGGGCAGGTAATGTTCGTCCGAGGCCATCCGGCCTCAAGCCCCGTGACATTTGTGATAGCCCTTGGACTATTGGAACTAAGATGCGGACAGGGCTGATCTTCAGGCTTCTTACCGCTGAATTTATGTTGGTGTTGATTAAAACCAAGTGAGGCAACTGGCATTTGGAACTGTACTTCAGTGGTGTTACGAGGGCTTGAGAAGTGTGATAGGGTAACAAGGCCCGAGAAACCTGCGACTGTGCATGCTCTGTGATGTAGCAAGTGATTCTGTTCAGAGAGTTAATTGTGAGACTTCTGAAGACACATAAATATCAATCTGCTGCTAGACTGACCAGTGTACCCAAACATTGGTGGCCTCCAGGTGCTGACAAATTTGGAGACTGCCATGCTCTGAGTTCAGCACACGTGAAGTAGCGCCAGACATGCACTGAAATTTTTGGTGCAATGCCACTACAGCCAACATGTTCAGTGTAGCTTGGATTTTTTCCAGTAACACCTTAGTAGACCACGTCCATTCAAACTGAAAAGACAAAAATTCAGACAAGACTATGATCCTGATGATCTGATCTGTCCAGACAAATAATTTGTTCTGGAATCTATATCACGGGGCCCATTCCAAGGCACTATGCTCCAGCACACAGCAGTGTAGGGATTGGGTTTCATGGAAACATCGCCTTGGAAACATCAGCAAACTCAGACATTCGCAAGTCACAACTCTGAAGCGTCGAGCCGAATTTGTATCAAATGCCGCACCAATATGCCGCTGCGCAAAGTGCACCGCAGCGCGTTGGCCATGAACCACCGACCTGATTGGTTGTATCAAAATTTAGCCTAAACACACGGGAACATTGACATATACTATATGGCATGGCAAGGAAAGTATTAATTGTAACTCGCAAGTATGATCAGTTGGGCAAACTAGACCTTTGGAATCAAAATATGGAGGCATCAAAAGATTGATTCCTTTTGGGCATAAATGCAGACCATTTATAACTTACCAATCACATAAAAATAAGACAGTGTTTCAAGAAGGAGCATGCCTGATCTTGAACAGAAATGCTTGAACTATTTCCTAAGCAAAATAATATTGCTCCTATCATAACAATTTGAATTCTATAGGTAGTGAAAGGCAATCAAGGAATTGATTCACTTTTAACAGATAATCATAATATTGATTCCCCATCAGCTGGCTAATCATTATTTTGATTCACAGGTAATGTTAACAGATAGGCAACAATGACTTGCAAGAATACAGCATTTATCTTGCTATTATTCTCATTTAGTGGTATCCTCAGCACCACAACTGATACCTATAGCATTGTTGTACTTTACCTTCACTACATTTGATAACAATTCACAATTTTTTAATGTCAAAAATACAAAAACTGAAGCAACAGGTAAAAACCATATAAATAATATAAAAGCACTACAACAATGATAATTAGGGGTTTAAAAATTTCATTTTGCCATTTTACACAAATACTGATTGGTTAGTATGTGATTCATGATACAAAAATAACATACAGTGTGATTTCCTCAAAACAGCTTTTACGTGATGGACAGGCGTATTTACAAATTGCAACCGAGCTCCGCCGTGGGGTAAGGTGGGCAGGGGTTTTCGCACTACGGCTGCGGTTGAACTACCGTTTGTGGTAGAAACTTCAGGACGATGGCGCGTTTCATACGAAATGTGGCGCAATGTTTGTTTGCTTCTGAACTTGTACTGTTTGTTATTGCCGTGAATTCTTGAAGTGGGAGTGTTTCAATAACAACTTGTGGATTATTTGAGTTTCTTTTTATAAACATAGAATAGTATTATGAAACATTGTGTGGAAACTGCAAATACTGATATGATCAATTACTTAGTTTGGGAATTGATACACATTTTGTAGAGATTTGTCTGGCAAATGGTGTAACAAACCTCAAGCCTATCATGATCCGAAGCTGTTGTAACAAATCAAAATTGCTTTGATGTTACATAGTACCTTGTTGGAAAGACTGGAGCATGGTTCAAGATGATGTGTAAAAATTCAAGATTTGTGGGAAAGCTTGTGACTGAAGAACGAAAACAGTTCTATATGATGGCTCAATCAAACATGGAAATGGACGACAAAAGTAGAGTTTCAACATTCCAGCATGTGAGAATAACTTCAGAAATTCATAATTCTTGTAGTATTGCATTCTTCTTATGTACAGTTATAGTTTTTGTTAGAGTATTTGAAATTCATTGTGTCAGTTGAGATATAGATGGATTGCGGACAAATTTTAGAATCATTGCATGGTAGCTAGGTATAAGGTACTTATTCGGTAAAAAGGTATGTGATGAATGCCATGAGAAGGTTTTTTATGATTTAATATATGGTCGTTGTTGTACCTACAAAAATGCAAGCTTACTAGCAACTAGTTTCTGAATCAAATCAAAAGTATTTGCCATGAATGTAAATATGTACCTGCAAAGTATGTCAATAAATTTGTGTGATGTTGACCAGAGAGCTTTATCATCTGGGCATTTATGTCGCTTCTTACATTAGGTGTTAAAGCATAGTAATTACGGATGAACTTTGTGCCAATATCTTCAATGCACAATGTATATAGCATGTCTACAACCCTCACTGATCCTGCTATAGCTATAGGCATTTGGCACAAGCAAGACCAAGGGCATGAACTTCACAATTGCTCAACCTTTTGTCACGTACCACCAGTCACTTTTTTGCACATAGCAGTGCACACAACAATGTGAAGAGGGCCTACACAAAAACAACATGATTAGTGTGCACTATGCACAGGATTGTACCCTGATTATTTGAATATTTTGATCACTCAACAGTCAACAGTCAGGAGATAATTATTAAATATCATATTTATTATACATCACTTGTCAAACAAGAGCATGATGACACACATTTTGACAAGCAATAATGGTAGTATTCCAATAAGTTGGACAGTCATCTCCCTGGGCGTCATTTTTCCAGGAAGGTACCTCTGCAGGTGTTGTGGTAGGCTAGGTTGAATTGGGTCAAGTTAGGCGAAGTAAGGTCAGGTGGTTAGGACCCGGTCAGACCGTAAGGGCTGGTCAGGTTGATTTTAATCTTTCATTCTAATTTGACATAGATATCTATTACCTATATTTTTGCTCCTGCCTGAATTTCATTAGGTAATGAGCTAATTTTCCTTTGTTTTTATCTGTCTTGCTTTGTGTTTTTGTCCCTTATATTTTGCCCCATAGGCAAGGGTGGAGCTTTTCCAGGGAAGGTGGTGGAGCATGATTGGAGGCGCTCAACCAGACGGCATAGGAGGGCACGGTTTCTGAACGCACACTGATGCCTGATTCAAGCCACGCTGTCTTCATGCGTGGCGGCGCGCTACTTAAAAGTCCCTAAAAAAAAAAAAAACGGGAAGTGATGCCGATAGAACCTTCAATCATTCTGGGCTAACGCTTATGACTTGGAAAAAGTCGCGATCCCAATTCAATCGAAAACCTGTGGGCTCTTGCTTAGCAGGAGGTGTATGAAGAGCCACCCGCCATAAGCACTGCTCAACCGCAGGCACAGGTTTAGACGGCGTTGGTCCGCATCAAAGCCAGTGTGCTGGAGAATCCATTGGCTGAAATGCTCCAGAACATTCGCCACTGTGTGGGTTCCTCATTTCCTCTCTGACTGTCCTTTGAAACCACTCCAAAGATATGCAGAAACCAACGAGGTGAGTAAACGAGGTGAGTAAACTGTGTTTTTTTATGAAAGGTGGCTACAAGCTCAGTTAAAAGAAAAAGTACCAGATTGTTTTGTTTTTACAGCGGGAAGAAAGGTGTCCGGATAATTTCGTTACACCCCCTGTGATGTTCAAATGGTTGCTAAATTCGAAATCAGCTCCAAAAACTAGCCTAGAAACATGTAAAACTCGAAAAAGTGAACCGAGGTCATCAAAGGTCATTGAGCTGACCTGACCTTCAGGTGACCTTGACACCCACCCTAATGCATGGGATCAGCATCATATCACATGTGTCAACGCTTGAAACCACGTGAAGACTGCAACCGCGCGGCTAATGCGAGCCGGCATACGCCGAATCGCGATTCGGGCCAAACATGGTCTCGAGAAATAGGTCACAGGTCAAAGGTCATTTGGGTCAGGGTCATGAAATTTTCAGGGTAGGTGTAAAATTGATAAAATCGGGGGTATTGAAAGTTTCGTCGCGATCGGACGGTTTTTACGCGAGTTACTCACGAAAAACCGATAAAGCGCACCCAAAAAGGCAGAAATATGCACATGCGATATCCTATACTGCGAAAAAAGGTGCATCATTTTTGAACGTCGCCGACAAATTGTAATTACCCTAGGCTCAGGCAGATGTATGGTAGAAAATCCCCCAAGTGAAATACACTACGGCGGAAATAAAATACCCTACGGCGGAGCTCGGTTGCAATTTGTAAATACGCGATGGACAGTGGCTCTGTCTTTTTCCCATTCACAAGGCCAAAGGGACAATTTCTTAGCTTTGAGGTAACACTTTTTGCAATCCTACCACATTTTTCTACCTTTTAAAAGAAAAATCTCGCCGTCATGGGCCTTTTTTCAACCGTAACGATTCATTTGAAGTCAAAAGCGTACCCAAATGAATCAAAAAATTGATTCCATGCCCATATTTGGTCATGGCTCCTCCCACCAGAATCAAATTATTGATGCCTCCATATTTTGATTCCAAAAGTCTAGTTTGCCCAACTGTGATCGCAAAGCATGCTTATCACAGTCTGTTATCTTACACATACCAACTGAATGGTAGAAAATTGGTCATTATTTTCAACAGATTTCACAAAAAAATTCACTCAGTTCACTATTTCTCTCTTCGGTTTCCACGGGTTCCAACGGAAATGACAGGAATTTCATCACTATAGAGCATAGAGAAATTACAACAGTCGTGCACATTACGATTGTACGAGGACATTCATCACTAAAATCACTATAGACATGTTTCAATTCAAGCAAAATTTGGTTCTCACCTCTCACTTGCCGTGAAATGCAGGAAATGCAAGAAAATGCACCCTACCAGCAAAGCCCTTTCATCGAAATGTCCGTGAACTTAGCGACGTATACGTATACGTATTCAGCGACGAATTCCAAATCACTTCAGATTCATGGCATGGGTTAAGTTGACCATGCTGAACACGAATATGACATTTATTTTAACTTTTGAATTAATCTTCATGGTTAAAATCCGGTTTAAATGACGGGGAACCGCATAACGTCGCGAAAATAAAAACTCACGAATTCCAAAGTATATGCAAAATGTAGAGCTCATCCAGATCTAACGTCCGTGGAAGAATCCAAGCTCGTGGCTCTTTAACTTCATGGTTAAAATCCGGTTTAAATGACGGGGAACCGCATAACGTCGCGAAAATAAAAACCCACGAATTCCAAAGTATGTGCAAAATGTAGAGCTCATCCAGATCTAACGTCCGTGGAAGAAACCAAGTTCGTGGCTCTTTAACTTCATGGTTAATATCTGGTTTAAATGACGGGGAACCGCATAACGTCGCGAAAATAAAAACCCACGAATTCCAAAGTATATGCAAAATGTAGAGCTCATCCAGATCTAACGTCCGTGGAAGAATCCAAGCTCGTGGCTCATCGCCTTCATGGTTAAAATCCGGTTTAAATTACGGGGAACCGCATAACGTCGCGAAAATAAAAACCCACGAATTCCAAAGTATGTGCAAAATGTAGAGCTCATCCAGATCTAACGTCCGTGGCAGAATCCAAGCTCGTGGCTCTTTAACTTCATGCGTAAAATCCGGTTTAAATGACGGAGAACCGCATAACGTCGCGAAAATGAAAACCCACGAATTCCAAAGTATGTGCAAAATGTAGAGCTCATCCAGATCTAACGTCCGTGGAAGAATCCAAGTTCGTGGCTCTTTAACTTCATGGTTAATATCTGGTTGAAATGACGGGGAACCGCATAACGTCGCGAAAATAAAAACCCACGAATTCCAAAGTATGTGCAAAATGTAGAGCTCATCCAGTTCTAACGTCCGTGGAAGAAACCAAGTTCGTGGCTCTTTAACTTCATGGTTAATATCTGGTTTAAATGACGGGGAACCGCATAACGTCGCGAAAATAAAAACCCACGAATTCCAAAATATATCCAAAATGTAGAGCTAATTCAGATCTAACGTCCGTGGAAGAATCAAAGCTCGTGGCTCAACGCCTTCATGGTTAAAATCCGGTTTAAATGACGGGGAACCGCATAACGTCGCAAAAATAAAAACCCACGAATTCCAAAGTATGTGCAAAATGTAGAGCTCATCCAGGTCTAACGTCCGTGGCAGAATCCAAGCTCGTGGGTCTTTAACTTCATGGTTAAAATCCGGTTTAAATGACGGGGAACCGCATAACGTCGCGAAAATAAAAACTCACGAATTCCAAAGTATGTGCAAAATGTAGAGCTCATCCAGATCTAACGTCCGTGGCAGAATCCAAGCTCTTGGCTCTTTAACTTCATGGTTAAAATCCGATTTAATTGACGGGGAACCGCATAACGTCGCGAAAATAAAAACCCACGAATTC